GGCCTGAGGGAGTTTTATCCGTCCCTAGTCTCGTCGTAATAGTAGTCCAAGCCCACTAAGGATATGGAGGATTCGGTACTCTCCTCGGAGCTTGGAATTGGCTAGGCAAATGTTGTTTTTTTGAAAATGTTTTATCTTCAGAGGTGAGCTGAATGCTTGGGAAATCGATTGTGATTTTTAGCCTAGTTTGAATCTTTAGCTGCAGTGCTCCCCGGGCACTTATTTTGGCAGCTACCATATGACTGTCGAATTTTTCAGTGTCGGCCCCCAGTGCCGGAGATGGTGCAGATTTCAGTTCTCCATTTGGGAAGGTCAAACTGATCTGCTACCTTACCTCTATTAGCTTTTGTGCGCAAAGTCAAAGAAAAATAAGACTTTCTCATCCCTTCTGCCATTATGTAAAGGTCTCTTTCAGCGGTCATCAAGACTAGCTGAAAGGTTGCCCTTTCCAAATTTGGACTTTCTGTATGGTTGTTTGAATGATTGTTTGGTCATCAAGGCCATTACTGTTTCTTGAGCACCTGCTGTTACGATTTTGGCTGTGCTGGGGTCTGAAGGATTGTTGCGCTCGAGTGGTACCCTGATTCGAGTTTTGAGTAGCCCTCCCCGGTGTGCCTGTGGACTGGACTCTCGGGATTGTTTTGCAACTTTGTTGCTGCTTTCTTTTTCTTTTGAGTGAGATGTATTTTGACTACATCGCGCACAGTCCGCCTTAAGCATTCAAAACTGTTGATTCGGTGAAAAGCACTTCCAGCACCTTTTCTCATCCATTAAGACTTTCCGGCGACGGGTTTGATCTGTGACCCTTATGCAAGCCACTTACAAATGATTATTCCTATAGCAGAAGGTGTATTTGTCGCCGTTCTGAGGTCGCGAATTATTTGTCGGGACCGTTTGATTGCTTGTTATGCTGGGTCGGCTGCCTATGGTGTGACCCATTCTGCACTCGACGTACTTCTTAGCGCTAATTTCCCTCCTAAGTAGGGACACTAAATCTTCTATTGTATGCTGATCCTGGGATTGACCGCGAATCAGTACAGGTTTTACGACGCTCTGTGAGAATTTAGGCAATGTACTCTCGCACCACACTGGGACATTTTCGAACGTCGTAACCTTCCAAAATCATTTCATTGACCAGCACTTTAATCTAGTCGAACAACAAATGTCAAATAGCTCTCAGCAGAACTATTTGCTAGCTTTGATTTAACAGCTTTTGAACTATTTGAGCCCTATTTACGGGTGATGAATGTAATTATTATTAAGGGTCTCTACTAGCCACCCGCATTTTTCCGGTATTAGTCTTCCTCTTATGGGATTTGGGGTTTGATCAAAATTCCATAATTGAGCTTTTTCAATGAGCAAAATTTTCTCCATGGTGCCGGAAAAGTACTACTGTTACCATATAGCGTTTCGAAGACTGCCCCGTATTTTGGAAAGTCCAGCGCTACCACAGAATTCAGAATTTGGGTAGCGACCCTTATGGGGGCTTCACTGAGCGGCAGGTCCTCGATGGGATTGCAAGCTTAGGAACCCTTGCTTCAGCAACGTTAGCTGCCGCCATTATAAAAGCGACTAGGGTGCTGTTTCGATCAGAATCCTCGTCGGGGCTATTTAGTGTCTTGCTCTATCTCGCGCGCCGCATTTTGCACTATCTAGACGGGCAGCGTGCATGAAGCGGAGCTCCTCCGTATAGGACTTGATAATGTGGTAATTGGAATCCTCATTTTCTCTACTTAGAGCATAATGTCCTTAGTCTCAGACTTATTTTTGCAGTTTTATACTCGTCTGCAACTTCCTCATCAAGGTTTTGTATTAAGTTTTTTGCGCCCTTCTTTTATTTGCCTCATTCTGCTTTACAAAAGGATGATCCTGGACCTACATTTTTCTAGGTCTCCTCATCTATGCTTATAAGGCCCACCTTAGCGGTATAAAGTGGGCGACTAAATTGTTGAGGACGTTCGCGCTGACGATAATGGGTCCTCCATGAAAATGAGCCAGAAAGACTTGAGAAATGAAATGAAAAAAAAATGAAAAAAGTGAAAGTTGAAAGGTTGCCAAGGTACAGAACCACGTTCGATTCCATTTGGTCGAGTGCTGATTACAGAACCGCGTTCGACTATATTTGTTAATATTGCTTAAAGATACATAGTACACTCACATGCACATTGAGGGTGTATGAGACAATCAGCCCCCCAGCTGTCGATGTGTCGTGGTCTTCCGCTCAAACATGCCCAGGAATGGGGATACAGGACCGTGAAACACGCTAATTCCTCCATGCTTCGCCTTACACCTTTTTGCAGATTCCCGTCCTTCATAACATCCGTCGTAAGCGCGCGTGTCGCGTGCGGCTCCTTGGCACTTTGCCAAGTCCTTTAATTGCGCTCTCAAATACGAGTGAAACGCAATTTCCTGATGCGGATAACATGGGAGGTGCTACAAAATAAGAACAGAAGATGATGACAAGGGCCAGAACTCAAGAGCAACTCGGCTGCATCCGCAGAATCCATCAAAGGCCGCGCATTCCCAGAAAACATGAAATAAAAACGGCCTACTCGTTAGTGTGATAGAGGCAAAACCGCAATTTCCCGGATGCGAATAAAATTTGAGGTGTTGCTCATGCTTTCAAAATCATGTACAAGGAATGAAGATGACACATGGCTAAGAAATGAACGCACAACGAATAAACGCTAAATAAAACAAAAATGAAAAAAATCAATTAAAGGCAAATTAGTTAGAAATCGCCTTGTAAATTTCTACGAATCGCGCGCACATCCGGCGGCCAAAGCCATAGAATACTTAGAACAAACAAGAGGGACGCTTGGGCTGTTTATATTCTCATGTTTCGTGGGAATGCGCGGCCTCCGATGGATACTGCAGATGCAGCCGAGTTGCTCTTGAATTCTGGCCGTCGTCATCATCTTCTGTTCTTATTTTGTAGCACCTCCAATGCAATCCGCATCAGGAAATTGCGTTTTACTTGTATTTGAGAGCGCAATTAAAGGACTTGGCAAAGTGCCAATTAGCCGCATGCGACACGCGCTCTTACGACGGATGTTATGAAGGACGGGAATCTGCGCCGCAAAAAGGTGTAAGGCGGAGCATGGAGGAATTAGCGTGTTTCACGGTCCTGTATCTCCATTCCTGGGCATGTTTGGGCGGCGGGACCACGACACATCGACAGCTGGGGGGCTGATAGTCTCATACACCCTCAATGTGTTTGAGCGTACCGTGTGTCTTCAAAAGGCAAAATACGTCCCAAAATATCAGAAAAATACATATTAATCGGCTAATTTATGCCGATGCACCAAAAATATGGGGCTGGTTCAGTGGTTTTGTATAGGATCCTAAGGATTTGGGAATTCAACGACAACAATGAGTTATGTTACATATTTATAAGATAGGAATCAGCACAAATGGGAACCCACGTCTTCTTTTGGACGATGATAGAAGGAAGAGTGACGCCCCTACCTGACGAGGATCAGCTGGACCCATATTAGGTACCGGTGAACTTTTGGAAGCGGTGGAATCATCGTCTCAGAGTGTGTGTAGTGGCGGTTCAGTGGCTTGTGTAGATTGCAGACGAGGCGAATAGTCCAACCGTTTATCTTGGTTATAAACACAAGTATATAGAGGGTTTACAGAGTTTGGGGCTACGCCCACGCCTCGAAGAGTCGGAGGCGGGGCGTAGAGGGTGTAGGTCATCGTCATAGTGGCGATGACATTCCGCCGCCCCAAGGGGAAACAACAGATGGGGACAAACACACATCATTATATCATTATATCATTATTATATCATTACAACATTATTATATCACACAACATCATAACAATTGATCATCGCGGACGAAGCTGTGGCTTCTTAGAAGGAGATTTCTTTTTCCATTAGCGTTGTAGACCAATTGATGACGGGCCGACGTCGAGCGCTCAGCGGGACGAGAAGACGGATAGAGGAGCAGCGATGATGACGGTGACAGCGATCAGTAGAAGGAGTGGGGGGGGGGGGGTGAAGGTCGGGCACGGGCGGCCAAAAGTGATATAGTACTCGCAAAACTGATTACAGCTTTCGCTAAGAAATTGGAATGAAAATTTAAACAAAGCCAGTCATAACGAGTGGCTCTCCAAGCGTTAAGCTATGCACAGCTGGCGTGACATTTTTGAAGGAAAACAGTACTATCTCGCCAACTCAAAGGTTCCTGGCCTCACATCCTCGTGGGTCTGGATTATTATCATGAGCTGATATATGGCCCAAATGACCTGTTGAAAACACCATGAGGACTACACATCACGAAAATAGTTTTTGGACCAACCGTTTACGGCAAAGGTCTTCTAACTGGAGAAATGCCTTCAAATAACTTCTGCTATGCTTAGACAGCAGTTACTGAACAGCCGAAACAAGGACGTCTTTAAAAGAAACAAGTGAGACAAACATAGCGTACAACGGGATCCAAGGCTGAATCGATTGAAAACCGGGTTGATACCCAGGTGAAACTTTCCTTGTGGCAAAGCGACGATAATTACTTCGGCCACTAGCTATTTGAGGTCTGATGAAATACTAATTCCTAATCACAATGCCATTCGCAGAGCAGTAGAGAAAATCCGCCCTTTTAAACCCGTAGTATATCCAAGAAGCAGGACACCAACAAAGAGGAGCGCAAACTGCCAACGAAGAGCGCTTACAAATAGCAATGCGAACGGACCCACAAAAAAGATTTCGGTAGAAACAAAGCAAAGCCTTCCTCTAGCGTCAAAAACGCGCGCACATGACTTCCTCCGGAATATGGATAGAGAACCAAACCCAAATGTAACGAAAACTTAATAACTCTTCCATCATATCTTGCTCGAATGGCGCAGTTAACATGTGACTAATCAAGGGCTTGTTTGAAATATGCATTGATAGTGATTGTCAATCCATGAATAATACAACACGCTAAATCAAATAATTGCTACCGATATCCGGAGTGAAAAAGGAGTTATAGTGCAACTACGTACTCTCAGCGCAAATGGAGTACAAGAGCAACACTGGCTTTGTGACATACCAAAGTTTTGTGAACATCAATATCTCCTTTCAAGAAGCTCACTGGGAAACCCTACTGTTGGCCTGCTGGATCAATCGCTACTTTAACAGTGTTGATTTATCTCATAACAGCGGCATCCATGTTTGCTACATGGGTAGCCGTCAAGATTACCATAGAGATGATGGCTCATAAAGCAATAGTAAGACCAGAAGACACTGAAACAAATGCAGCGTCCACCAATTTTAGTTATAAACTGACACCACTCCCCAGTGTTGTGATATTATGTGCCCGAGTAAGCTTAATATCGCCCATGGGCGCATGTCAGTACGGTTTCATGCGTCACTTGGCTAACCTCCTGTGCAATGAAAACAATTACGACATCTAGAATATAGCAGAGAGCTTTTATTCATCAGGTTTTCGGAGTTGTGTGTTGTAATTCTACACGCCAACAAAATCGTTGGATCAGCCAAGTTCGTCAAAAAAGCTGTGGACTTTGAGTGTTCGAAAGTGGCAGAATTTTTCACCAGGCCAACGAAGCTAGCAATGTATCAATCGAAACGCTGCGCTTATGTGGGGTCATGCATTGAGAACAAATGCGACAGGCTTAAGCAAAATGAAACGGCTCCGGAATTGAGTCGCAGTGCAAAATATTCAGGCTACTCCGGCTGTATGAATAGTTGTGAAGGATTTTCTGTGGATGCTTCCTGCCGTTACCTAGCTGCTGGTTCTAAAAAATCGCTCACAGACCAGTATCTGACCAAACCTTTGAACTAACACAATGTCCTTGTTGGACTACTATCGTGAAATTAGATATAGAAATAACAATCGCAAATCAAACGGAAAAAGTTGAGCGATCATTTATTCCATATATGGCTAATAACAGCGACAACTTGAATGTTACAGTGATATCAATTCAACGGACAATGCACTACCTAGAAAACAAGCGCTTCACTTCGAAGGATAAAGAATACATGTTGCCACCTAACTTCCAGCTTCCGGCCGCATGTAGTACCGAATACAAGCACTGCAGGAATTCGCTACTTGTTCCAGCAGGATTCAGTGCAGCTGTGAAAGTTCGCCTTACAGCTGCCAGTGTCCAGACGACGTTCCATAAAATTTGTGAAAACCCATAAAATAACTACCTCTTTGTGAATTCACTGCTCGTTCTGTGCCCACCAGATGAACTCTTGCGCTCATTCTCGCTCTCTCTTCCAATAATTCACTGAGCCACCGAGCCATTCTTCGTAAAAGGGTGGAAAACCCTAAGTCTCATAGCACCATTAAAATGGTTGGGAGAGCAACATTTCCAGCACCTGTTGTTTTCTTGGAGGATCTTTCTGCGAGTTCCCTTATCTGTTATTGTTCTGCGTGTTATTGAAAGATGACCATCCTTCTGACAGAACAGACACCCTTCACTGTTATTGGATCGTAATTGGTATATTTCTCCCTTTGAGTGTTGAGCTTGTTTCTGATTGTGTGGTCTTATCTGGGCTCGATTGCCTCGCCATGTCTGTTATGGACGTTGCTCTTTGCGGCACCTCTTGTCCAGTTGAGCCGTGAGGTTTTCGTTTATTTGTTGTGGCAATGCTTCGCCAGATATGAGGACAGGCTTGACAAACTTAGACAAAATGGTTTCGTTGGAAACTTGGACAAAATGGTTTTGCACCATATAGGATCACAGATTTTCCTGGCATCGCAGCCAGCAGAAACCATTTGGTTAACTAGAACTTGAATTTTTTTAACTGCGGAGCAGCCGTCAGCAAAATTGTTCGCTCCCTTCATACTTACGAGTTTTTGAACAATCTGCGATCTATTTACCGAATAGTCGCAGGTCTCCTTTAGGGTCTTAAATTATATATCTGGTAAATGCCGGATTCCTTGGATGGCTGGTTTAGCTCTCCTGAGACTTTCTCCTAACAGGATAATTTTTTCCACAACATCTAGTTCATCACTTTTATGCACTAGTGTCCCAAATATTGCCCAGTATTCGGGAAACTGTTCCGCTTTACCGAAAAATCTGGAAAGGGATGCATGACGAGGATTTATAGAACGTCTCAGCAGCCCACTGGGGCTTGGGCATGCTTTTCTTTAATCTCTTTCACCATTATTTGAGTCAGTACCATTAACTTCGCTGCTGTGGCTATTCTACTCAAAGTCACCTTCTTGACCGCTTCGAAATTCTGACTCATGCGGTACTGGTTCGTTTCTACTTGAGTTGTGAGTTATATACCCTAGTTTGATGCCTATTCTGTTGTAGCGCATCTTGAATCATCCAACCGAGCTGTGAGCATGAATATCAAGTCACTTGAATCGGCTATCGTTTGCTCTAGCTGGGATTCTTCTTCAATCTGCTCGATTTCGAGCATTAGGTCTTTTCTGTCTGATTTATTTCTACAGTTCCTGTATTATTCCCTTATCTCACTGTATAATTTCTGAAGGTCTTCCCTGCCTTCTCTGATTTGTCGGATTCCTCTTTCTAGAAGCGCCATTGTGGATCGACATTATATCTTCTTCGCCTGCGCTTGTGTATTCTACGGTATGTTCTTTATGCCTAATGGACTACCTTTTTGAGAGTCATTGCGCTCAGAACGATGGGGGTGTTATAAAAGTGCAAAGCCAGCTTTTTTGCAACTTTAAGGTACTCTTGAATTTGGAAAATTAAGAGCCTTCAGTGCTGCTGTACTTCGGGCGATTTATTCTGTTCACAGTATATTGGTTTGGCATTCGTTTATTGTTGACTGCTCGGTGTGTCCGGGTGTGCGGATGGTCTATCTAATCTGTTCACCAAGGGTCATAAATACATTACCAGGGGCCTAAGTCACATTCACTCAATATCCTCGCTGTGTCTAGATGACACTTATAATTGATGGAGGTCTGGAGGCATAGGCACTCCAGAACACTCCGCGGCGACAAAGGGGACAAGGACATCTACTAATAAATACTAGAAAATTCTAGGGAATAAGTACAGCGTAGACTCAATCTCATATCAATACATGATCTAGGGGGTCAAAATGTGATATCATGATGTAGTAGTCGAAGCAGTCGGTTGTGGGGAGTGGGTTGTATTGGAGGCCAGTCTTGTTCAGCGGCTTGATGGTTACATGAAAGGTAGAGATTAATTCATGATGTGTGATAGAAATGGGAAAAGAGTGATCGAGTGAGGTGGGAAAAATGGGGTAAACGGGCCTTTTGTAATTTCCTTCGTGCGGATGGGCTGCTTGAGGTTGTGATGATGCACTGGTGTTACGAATCCTTTGCTGGGCGTTGATGAGTGTGAACGGCTCGGAAGTGGTGGACGTACCAGTTGATAGTGGCACGTGAAGAGGTAGTGAAATAAATAGTCAAGTTAATGGGTTAATTAAATGCTCACTCGGAGCTCGTTACAACGGCATGAACAACTTTGGTAACTGTACTGAAAATATATCTAATGATGCTGAAGAGACAACCTGCTGTGGTAATTAAGATTAGTGGTCCAAATAGATAGGATAGAGCTGCTAATATTAGAACAGTTGTTGCAGAGGCGATGGCTAGCTTCCAGTGGTCGCGAATGGTGTCCATTAAGGGACCCATATCGGGTATTTTGATTTCTGATAGCGATGTTATGAAGCTTTGTTTTTCATAGTGCTCATGGTTGAAATCGAACACCGAATCGTGTTTTTCAACGTGGTATAGAAGGGTACCGTTCAGTGGTAGAGTATTTCTCATTTCCACATTCGACAACGCAGTTTTGGGAAACCATTGCGTAGTCTTAACTGAGCTTGACTCTGATTTGCGGACTTGTGGAACCATATTCTATGGAGAATGAATGATGTCCACAGACTACGGTAACTTTTGTGGGGTCTGTGGGGTTTTGCACTGCGTAGTAATTGCCGCACCTTGTATGCAGCTATACCACCCTGTTAAACTACTGAGGGATACCGTGCACTTTTCATCGTCAGCGAAATTGACACTTTCTGTGGAATTTCGACTGAACGGTTACAGTGGTTTCAACTTCAGCTGAACTTGCGAATATTTCGCTGCCAGTACTGCGTATTTCCACTGAAGGTGTGACTAGCGGCAAAAGGTGGTCACTGTCGGCCCCTATTTGTCGAAGTGACGTTTCTGGACAGTGGCAGTGGTGCTTGTTCCAACCCGTGTTACAGTCACAAATTATTTTATTGACGCACTCGCGGAAGTTTGTGAGTGCATCGTATCTGGTATACCTGTATCCACCTTGTGGCTCCTCTATCATGTCCGAGTTCCTCGAGCGGGGCGCCGAGTTACGTCTCCATTTCGTCTCTGCACGTGCAAGGAGTTGCCCCAATGAAACTCTCGGGGCTCGCTCAGCTCTGGCCGACATGACACTTCATTACCGTTCGTCAGAGCTTTCACGGAAGAAGTCTGTACACTCGTCGCTCATAGGCGAGCTTGTCCAGCTTTCGCTTTGTTCGAATCGCCGTGGAATACAGTCGGTGGACCTAGCTTCTGGGTCCAGCGGGTGCGGTTCTCGGAAACGACATGACGTTGTCCGGTCCACGCTGATCTTCGAAACTTGGCAATGCGGCGGCGGTCTCTTATCTTCGATCGTTGCGCGGAGTGCGCGAGCTCCGGATTCCCTTTCTCACCTTGCGTGTGCGGGAAACTCCTGAGCGACTCGCCCTTAGTCGATGGCGCCGTTCTGAATCAACGCTCGCCGCATTGCCTCATCCTGCTTATCGTAAGTTCCACGTCTCTGAGGCGCTACGTCACGGCATGAGGACACGCCAGAATCGAAGAGGTGGCACGCGAGCTTGGTTGCTTCTTCGTCTTCTTCGCTACTCCGCTGCTGATCATGCTTCTTGAAGTGCTCCCCAAGCCGCTCCCCTTCCTCCTGCCTCAGCTCTGGAGTAGGTATTATCATATTGATTTACACGAGCTAGGTGACACATTAGCTAGAGGCTTCAGAAGATGGTCGTCTGCCGTGGAGACAGCGAATGCCGGGCATTCAGATAAAAATCCGTTTTCTCATGAACATCGTCTTCGTTAGTTCAGCCGTACGAACGATTCCTCCACACCCGCGCAGTCGAATTCAGACAGATACGCCGTCGCTGCTCGATGTTTGGCGTTATCAAAAACGCACTGTCAGTCAGCAAAGGGAGATGGTGTAGTTGCGACGTGTCGATGTCTTCACTCCCATTTTCCATTCCCAGGTGACGCACGACGATTCTTCGAAGAGAGGCGCTGAAGAGCTTGGGCGAGATGCTTGTACGCCTTGTCGGACCCCTCTCTTCCACTCAATGAATGATCTCCTTGTAGAATGGTGAGAATCTTGGCGTGAGTGCTGTAAGAGCTTCACGAAGAATCCTTGATGTACTGAGTAGAGAATACCTCTGGTTGCCCGGTTTCGATTAACCGCTTCTGTCTCAACGGAGTCGAAGCCTTCTTCAAGTGATGAACGTGAGACATAGCGGCATCTTGTAATCTCGGCAATCTTCGATGAGCTTCGTTACAGTGTGGAATGTGATCGATCGTGCTGAATCCTCGTCGAAACACTGAGTGCTCGCTGGCTTGTCTATGTTGTTCCAATCCTATTTGAGGGATCGACACTTGTGAAGAGTTGGAGAGTTTGTAGACTACAGACACAAGGCAGTTGGGCGATATTGCCAATGTCAGTGGGCAGTCTCCATCTTGTACAGCACCAGTCTTGCTGGTTTCGCCACAGGTGGTAGCTTGCATGTCCGACAGGTAGGCGCGTGAAGAGTCGGCAATTTTGACCGAGAAATGGCGGAGATTGCTTCAGATTTTCGGGTCTGATCCTAGTCGGGAGGGTGGTAAGATTCTTCACCGCGAGATGCGGTGTCGGACTATCGGAGGGAGATGCAAGTACCGACATATCATCCCTGCTTCCACAGCGTTATGGTGCAGGGGACGTGGACTTCGAGAGATCGAGTAGAAGTCGTGGATGACCTTCGCTCCATTGCCCTTCTGGATGCGGTGATTGCTCAGTCGGACGTCGGGAGGGCGTATTGCGTGGGTGTCTTTACAGTTTGGGGAAGTGCGGCGCGCGTTTGCGTATGACCTCTTGCCAGGCTCTGCGGCTTTGCCTCAATACGGCTGCTGCTTCTCTCGCTTGAGTCCGTGGACCGGCGGCATTACCCTTCTTTTATCGCTCCTGGCGTGCTGCTAGCACCAATTGAACTGAACTCATACGTCAGCTGTAAATTGTCCTGTGGATACATTGCCTGCGGCTCCACGTTGGCGAATCAGCTGCGAGAGTTTGCTAGAGATAAACGCTCTTAATCTTGGAACCCTCTGCTTCTTGGGCATTCCGTGAGGATGTGGCCACCAGCCAGTTCGATATTCCTCTCGAATGTTGCTGTATTGACGAAATCTCCAGAGCCCAGCGAAGAGAAGTGAAGTGCTCCTCCGTTGATGGAAGTTTTATGTTCGCTTTGAACTCTTGCGGCGTCTCCCTCCGATCGAAAAAGCGGAATTCTTGGCGAAGGATGCGATGGTCGGATCCCGTGTAGAACTTAGGAATCAACACCATCGGTCAGGCAAAACTCGATTGCGATGATTTCGGTTCGACTCTCGTGATTGGAATGTCCACAGGGACCTCCCGTCTGTGTCCAGCGTGGTAGAGTAAGGGCTTCCTTGGAGATTGCGAGTGTACCATAAATGGGTGGGTCGATAATCGTCAGACAGGACCTTTCTACGCCTGCTCATTCGACTCTGCTGAGTCCGATGTCACGTTCCTTCATGCGTTCTCTGGTACGCGATATTAGCGTTTGAAATCCGACGAATGACCTTGAAGAAGGTTATGAGTCTTCCCTTGTATGACCTTTCTCCAATTCATAGAACCTTCGTGTTCATGCCTCGTCGTAACTTGATGTTGGTGGGTAGCGACGAAGGTTGTCACAGTCTGGAGTTGCCACTCTTTCTCATTCGCAAACGTCGATTCGCGTCGTCAGACTTATCGTACGAATCTGATGTTCATCGGCCAACGTGGGCGTGTTGACGAGGACGCCCCGCACGCCTCTGCTGTCGCATGCTTCTCGAGGAACATTTCTTGCTTCCCAGTCTCGTCACGGCGATGTAGCGTGGCGAGCTCCTCGTTCGGTAGTCCAATGAACGTCGGTACTTGATCTTCCTGCTTGCAACGTCATCGTATCTTCGATGATGAGCCTTCCGATCGCAAAGCGTCGCGGAGCGTTGAAGTAATACTCGTCATCACTAGCCCTGGGCCTTAAAAACTCCGTTGGCCCTGGGTGATTTTAGGCCTCGTCGAGCGGCTCCCAGCTGGAGTCGGCACCTTGTCGTGCTTCCCTGCGAGGCTTCAGGGATGAGTGCCGCATACGTGTTGTGTTTTCGGAGAGAAATTAACAGCGCTATGCTGGCCAGGCCTGACGTGCACCCTCAGCATTGTCGTTTTTCGGACAGTTACCAAAACCGTTCACCCCACGCATCACGATGAGGCCTGCGGATAGCGATTTGTGGGGGGGGGCTCGGTACTACTAACACATTTTAATGCGAGCGAACTCGCAAAACCGTCCTCGTCAGCTTTACTGGGTTCGGAACTTTTTGGATGCGGAACAGCCGACATTACGGTTGTAGACCGGCATCCCGATAAAGGGGTTGCTTGCCAGCCAATCGCAATATGATTAGTGGCTAAAGTTGACTCCCCTGCACTACTGTGTCGCGCTGTACTCCTCCCACAAAACCTATGTGGAAGTGGGTGCTTATTTTGAATGGCTCGCAAGGCAATTCGTGTTTCTACAATTTGCATGTTAATTTTGCAGATCGGGATACACGTGCCTCTTAATGTGTTAGAGTATTGTGACTCGTTATCGAGTTCCTCGATCTCCTCTATTATTTTTTGTTGTTCCGCTTGTGATTCTAAAGAAAGGCAGAACTCTTCCAAACCGTCGATCGCGCTTTCAAGCTCTCCTCTACCACGCTGGATCTGATAGGAAAATTTAAACACTTAAGGATTTCTGAGCATTCTTCTTGACTCGTGTTATGGTCATATGAATACGAAATACCCTGGTTGTATACCTCGTAGTCTCTCAGGGCTTTTTTGCCCACTTGGACCTAATAAATATACTTATCTTTAGAGAATCCAGCAACATTTTTACTTTTATTTGGGTTGAGCTTTAGTGAAATGAGTTTTCATTCAATATTCTTAAGCATAGAACTAGCTAAGATATAGATAAGTAAAAATTCAGAGGTACCTGCTCGGGTTTGTCCCGGCCGTTTGCACCAGAAAATATTACAATAGTCGTTGTAGTGTAGGTTTATTGAGGCTAGGTGGCCTCGGTGGTAGTAGTGGGTCCGAGACGGGGTGGTCTGGGACCGTCAGGTAGTAGAATGCTGACCTAATCAAGGCGTGCCTCTCAATACAGGAGAGGTCACGCATCGAGTAGATAACTATTTACCTATGGGTCATAATCACATGCTCAATATTGCCTATGGGTTACACGTATCAATCACTCAGTAATAAAAGGGTGCGCAGTCAGGTTCTGGTGGCAATCCAGAACATAGTCCACTCAAAATGTGCGCTTTTTTTTCTGCGAAAAAGGTGGTTCCTGGTAATGACTACGAGGGCACTTCCCTTCTTCTCCTTTTGTTAAAGGTAGATTTGGATCGACTTTGAGCTCTTTTTACGAGCTGTGGTTTGCCTAGTTGTCTAAGATTATTACTCGTAGACTTTCTAGATAGTAGTAGAGATTTTGGCAGATGCACCAAAATGTGGTGGCGTTCAGTGGCGTTTGTAGATTGCGGACGAGGCGAATAGTCCACCCTTTATCTTGGTTATAGACACAGGTATATAGGGCTTGAGGCTACGCCCACGCAGTCGTACTGGGCGTAGGAGGAGAGGGTCATCGCCATAGTGGCGATGACACTGTGAGTCGACGATGAGGGATGGGATCGTCGTCTAAACGACGATAACAGTGGCTCATACTCAGTAACTGTTTTGTGGGTGCTATGAGACATGGGGTTGGAATAATCTTTTTTGCCGAACGACTCGGTGGTTTAGTGGATTATTTGTGTGAGAGAGGAGAACCAGACTCTATCTGGTAAGCACAGAACGAACAGTGTCTGTACCATACGAGCGCGGATGTGTGGCTACTACAACTGTATGTCGCGCCCCCCCCCCGACAGGAAGTAGCATCATCGGCGACGATGATAAGGTGGGCACCGGGAGAAACAGAATAGTCGAATAGTCTTACCTCATGACATCGGTATTTATGCGTTATTGCGAGAAGGGGCGGAGCCAAGGAGCGATATCTGGTGTCAATGCCCTCCCCCACCTTGGGTGCGTCCTATGATAAGGTCAAAAAAAACCAAATGCACCCAGCTCCGGATCGCATATTTCGCATACATACAACGCAATATCTACACCTATCTCACAGAGAGATAATAATAGGTCATATAATACCCGTATTATGTGTGAATATTGGACAACCCTACGTCATGGTTGCGACGAGGATGATTTGCGAGCAATTGGACGTCTTTCCTGAGACGTAGAAGAGGTGGATATCGTATATGTAATGTAATAGAGTGCGCGGACCATTCACTTCATGAGTTTGCCTCATGCTAGTACTTAAAGGCAGCGTCCGCGATCAACCAAAGTAAAAAAACCCTCCATTGAAAACGAACGCGGAGTTCGCAATCACAGCAGAAATCCCACTCTTGCGGCTCGAAATCGATTGGTTGACGAGGGCGGATTCAACAGAGCCGGGCTGACGCCTCCTGTCCTGTTAATCCCGCCCCGACTGGTTGACAGCTATCAATGCTTGCTGGCATTGATATACGCTGAATTTCTAGGGTTCCGAGGCGGCGTGTATTGGAGAACTTCACCAGAAGTTTGCGATAACTCGCCACCATGCTTAAATTTCATAGGGGTCTATTTCACGCTCTCACACCTTTTTCCTGCTTTTTTTTGATTAGTCTTCAACTGGCCCACTGTTTCCTAGGCAAATGTGACCCCTGAAACCTGCCAAAGTCCATCGCGGGCGCGTGTCTTTAAGGGTTCATGCTGAGAGAGAGAGACCCAGAGTGGAGAGAGGAAGATAGGTCGGGAACGTCGTCGCAAATGTCGGTACGTTCGGCTCCATGTACCGGAAACGTATCGGAAGATCAGTCAAGTAAGACCGACTAAGACAATTCATTCGGGCATGAGACAGACTTTTTTAGGATGTTTAATGTAACAACAACAATTCACAATAATATAATAGGAATGTAGGTCAGTAAACGAATTAAATAAGAACGAGGGAAACAGTCCAAAGACGGTGGACCTTGCGACGCTTCCTAGGAGAAGTTGGGGAGATCAGCTAGATTCGTCCTTCTGTGTTACCATCATTCTTTTATCGCGTGTAGTTCCCGCGAAGATCGTGGCGCTTCCTCTGGCCTCTGATCACATCTGATCTCTCTGCCACATTGCTTGGTTTCGGTGCAGTCTGCCCACTCCTCCTCACTGTTGGGAACGAACACTGTAAACTGGACACTGCAAGTTCAATTTCAGCAAGTGCTGATACTAGCTACGTGGTCGACCCATGATCTCGGCGGTAACCCCATCATTTTGGCTTGATGGGACTGAGGGTGAAGCGCGCGGTGATAAACCAAGCCGCTGTTACCAGAGCGCCCAAAACAATTGCGGCGTATGTTTGTGTGCGCTCTTCCCCCCCCCCTCCCTCCTTCTCTGACCGTATCGCAAAATCGAAAAAAATGCTTTGCAATCCGTGATGAGCCTCTAACTCACAAGTAATTATACCGAAATCCTCAAGCGATCCGGGTAACCCGTTGATTGCCAACAGAAGAATCTGCCTGGGAATCATTTCTCCTTTTGCCACAAATCTGAAACGCCATCATACGAACAGTTGCTAATAGCGGAAGGTTTCTGTCATCGAAGAATTGTTTCAGTCCTCATTACATGTCATTCTGCCGTGGTGTCAACACTCTCAAAGTGTCAGCGAAGTTATTTGCCGAAAATCGAGCTCGTCTTGTTGCAGCACTCAAGGTGATTGTTTGTTTATGTTTTGTATTTTTAGTGACACTATAGGGTTGGATACACTTTTAACCTTTGTGCAAAGATGTTACTGCAGCCCTGCAGATAATTTTCCACCATGGGTTCAAGGTCACTCTAAAAGGGAATTCGCTGAAGGACCCATGTGTTCTTCAGCGTACCCCCTACACCCGCAGACGTGACCGTGCGAATTCTTGTTGAATGTGGTGTCTTCTTTGAGGACCCGCTCTGTGAGCTGTTTCCCAAGTGTTTATGAAAGCTGTTAAGTGAACAAATTGTCATTACAGCGCGTAGCTCCGAGAAGTGTTGTGCTGCTACAGGGAGGAACCGAAAAGACTCGCTACAATACTGACGCAGAAGATTTACCATTTAGACAGGTTGCGTTTCTCAGGCTCTACTCTCTACTAATCCGAAACGAGTTCGTTTAGGAATCCTACTTCTTCTGGACTTTTGGTGTCCACGAAAGCGGTTTCTTTGGAACGGTCGACGTTGAATCAGGGAAATCCTGTCTTTTTCCTCCAACTCTCGATCCCAGCTATGCTATATGGGATGGAAAGTATGTCCCCTATTCTTTGTTCCTAGCTAGATGAGCGATGTCACAGCTCAAAGCGTGGCCTTCTTCAGGATCAACGATGAATCCTACTTCAAGGACAAGTACGAAGTCGACGAAGTTCATTTCCAGAGTAAGAATGTTATAAGTGACTACATCAGAGGACTAGGAGCAAAAAAAGTTCTGCTTTTGGTGAGTAGCATCCGCTGCAAATCTGCTTCTCAAAAACTAATGAAGATCTTTGAGAGAGCGGAAAACAGCGACAGCGGTAATGTTCTTGAGCCGCCAACATTCGATGGCAAAGAGTCGTACGTTTTTAATCATTTACTTTTTTTCTTTAACGCAGAAAGTTTAATAGAGTTTGACTCGAACGAAGTTAGGCTGCGTTTATGCTTCGCGACTCGAGATACATGGAAAAGTGGAGAATCGACGATTCAACGTTTTCAAAGAGTGCGCGCGATAGGAAACCATGAGTATTGATTTGGATGGGACGTGGGACGTTGCCGACTTTGGTGGCTAGCGCGTTCTTCCGGATCGCACTTTCTTGGACTGCGTTCATACTTTGCGTTAGCGCGTTTCAGTGTGCGGCAGTCTTTCAAGCGTGTTGAGCGGCTAGAAAAGGATACTTATCGATCTAGCGTTTCCAGCTTTTCGCGAGCAGTAGCTGTAAACACTGGCGTGTGATCAACGCGCTCGATCAACACCCTGACCTTCCTAGCGCTCAAAACGTTGGCGTACGTCCTTGAGCTCTAAAGGCTCCCATACGCCTAGAACGCAGATGCAAAGTATGAACGCACTCTGACGCAAGGTATGGTGACAGACTTATTCGAATGCCTTAATGCGGCTTGTTTCTCACCATCAGACAACCCGCTCTCATAGCACAGTTATAAATAGTCTCATGCCTTATGCTCACACTTACATAATATTGGAAGTCATGGTCCTTTGGTTTAAGGTTTGACGTTGATGTTAAGAAGCTGTACCCAATCATGGCCGAATTACGCGTCTACAAAACGGATTCGGAGTTGGAGGTGAGCCTTCCGAAAGGGTCTTTCATTTTCAAGTCTTTGCTGAGAACTTGAAGTTCGTGCAGTTAAGGTAATGAGATACGCAAGCAAAATCGCATCAGAAGCTCATCGTTCGGTCATGAAGGCGGTACGTCCCGTGTATGAGTCCAATTGGAAAGGTACTTCTATTAGAAATTGTAAATCTTGCACTCGAATATTCTGCTTCCACAGGTCCTCAGAATTCACCAGCTTCACTTCAACAACTGGCGTGCATTTCGTTTTTTACAGTTATCATGCTAATCAGTAAATGAGCAAAATGGATGATGGGGAATTCATTCCAGTGCATATTGCAAAATAGCGCGGCTGCAAAAGCACTAGGCCGCACTCACACTTTTCGTCGACGTTTCGAGCGTTTTGGGCGAATAGGAAGTTTATACATAGTGTAGTTCGCTGTGGATGGTTGGGCGTGTCAGTGCGGCTGCGTTTGGCGCGTTGCCAAACTCGTTCCCTCCACTTGTTGAAGCGGGAAAGTGATAATACTGTATTATGTTGAAGCGGGCAAGTGACAATACTGTATCATATCCTTCGTCTTACTCGTTTTCTATCACTTTTTGTCGCATGCGCGTTTCAACAAGGAGGCAGAGAACGCATTTGACGGGGTGGCACACTCATACTGGCTGACACGCCCAACCGTCCGCAGCGAACTCGAGTGTATGTGTCGGTCTAGCGTGTTGTTCTAAACACAAGTCTTTAGTTTTCGCCCAAAACACTGACGAGAAGTGTGAATGCAGCCTTGCTTCCGGGCTCAGGCATCGCGCGCTCTAGCAGTCTTTTCTCGCTAGTTGAATAGAAAGAAACAGGCTCAGAGAAACTCAGTTGTCTTGAAGGTGCAGATGCTGGGAGAGTGGACGAGTCACGATACTGCGACGTTGATGAACTGGGTCCCAGTGCGAATGATGCGTACATTGCTTAGCTTGCAACACCCATTTCGCCGCGCTCGCCACGGCTCGGAAATAGTGTTCCACTTCAAAGAGCAATAGATACTGTAGGTCATGAGCACAACCTATTTTTTGCAGTGTTTTTCGCCACACCTGCTACTATCATGGTGGATGTCGTCATCTCGCTTATACATGTATTGCAGCATCGTAAGTTTGTTTCGGATTACGCTATTCCAACGACTTGCTGACAGCAACTTACGCTCGGTGAGGGCATTTTGCTGGTCCTCATTGAGAACTGATGCCTCCTTTAGATTCCTGTAAAGCTATGCAACAGGAGGAGCTTAGTTTACATTCGAAAAGGTATGCATCCTCGATTTTATCTTGCGATCTAACCTCTCGATATCGCGAAGTCTGAACGCGATCTTTTCTGTGCAGTCGTCACTTTCATGTAGTGATGATGTCTCAGCGGCAGCGTCGTTAATAGGAGAGTAGAGTAGAATTCATTTCATGGCTATGAAAAAGAGATCATAGTGAGGCTGCAGTTGGTAGCTGGTACCAACGTGGGGTCGCTCTCTTCTCTCTCGCTTTCTCCCTCTCTCTCTGTCTCACTCTCTCTCTCTTTTGCGCACTGAGGAAATGAACTCTGCCTGCGCTTTTCCACTTAGAGTGCGGAAAGCTTTATACATCGCGCTGTGACTGTTCTCATCGCGCCATCAGATCGACCTCTTTGTCAAGAAAGAGCGCACTCTAAAACCAAACCTCTGAGCTAGGACAGGAGGGCACATTACCATGCCGGCGCGTGTCCCCTCCCCGTTATACCAAGATCAATTCTGGTAGAAGTAAAAAAAATTAAATAAAGGATACAAGTCAGCTGCAAGCGTGCAAGTGGTCGTGGAGTGCACGCCGTGTTGCGTCTATATCTCAACCGCGTTCAGAATTCGCATCGTGTCGCGCGATTTGGTCGAGTGATACGATCGCGCGATCCAATCGCTCGAGCGATCCGATCCCGAAGTCTAGACGCGGTCTGACCAAGACCATGCAGAGCAAAACGCAGGTGACCAGCATCTTCATGCTCTACCCTTACACTACTGAAATTGATGTCTTGCCAGGCGACCCTTTCAACTACTTTTGCTCCTTTCGAAGCGCCAAGATCACCATTAGTATATAACCAGTTGCAGTAGAAAAGGGAAATACTGTGACCGTACAAAATCTGTTGATCTCTTATCTGCAGAGGATGCAATGGCTCAGTTCTCCACTATGGGCATGCCAATGCTCCCAATGAGAAGGAGATATACGATGGAGATATGTGTGTGATAGATATGGGACCGGAGTATAATTGTTACGGTGTGCTGTAACCTAATCCTTATTCTATCTTCAGGAAACTTATGGCTCTACTTCAGCATCTGATATCACGACATCATTCCCTGCAAATGGGAAGTTCACTGACCAACAGAAAATTGTATACAATGCCGTGCTCGACGCGAATCGAACTGTCTTCGAGGCAGCTAAGCCAGGTAGGTTATTTATGTATACTCATCACAGAGAAATTACTGCTCGCTGGGGTATTTAAGGTGTTCGATATACTGACATGCATATTCTAGCCGAAAAAATAAACTCACACATCTCGAGGGCAGGACTTTTAACAGGTTCGTCTGGGATGATTCTAGCCTTGAATTGACCTTTTCATCAAAGGTGCATGTTAATAAACCTTATATAATGGCTTGTCTAATTTTCGGTGATATTGACGAGATGGTCAGCGCCAGACTCGGAGCCGTATTCATGCCCCATGGCCTTGGTCATTTCATTGGTCTTGATGTACATGACTGTGGCGGATATCTAGGGGTACTCTGTGTCTTGTAGCATTACAATGACTATCACTAATCTATTCATGAATCATTCGAGTTCAGGATGCGCTGCCGCGCTCGAAGCTTCCTGGTCTAAAGTCCCTGCGTACAACAAGGAAACTCAAAGAAAGAATGGTAATGATTTTGACGTTTAGTATGAAAACACCACAACCAAAAACACCGCAACATGTGCACATTTCAGCGTGCGAAGTCTGCGATAAAGTTTCCTAGCGTCCACCTTTCATTCATCTCGTCCAGGCGTATTTTATCAAGCAGTTTTGCGTGTATTCTGCTTTCCATGTGAACATCTCGAATAACGTTTCACCAGTATCGCACGCTGATAGTTGTGCTTGCAGCGCACGAAGGGGCATGTCAGGCGAGATGGGTTTGGCGCGGCGCTAAACCCTTTTTTCATCAGTGCCAAAGGGACAATACCATATCATCCCATTCGTGTCAGTCGTTTTCTGCCGCTTACCTATTTCAGCAGCTGGTAGAGGTCGGGTTCGCATCGCACCAAACCCATCCTGTCTGACACACCCCCTTCAACGGCTGCCAACGAGGCTAGAAGTGAGAGCCACGTTGCAAGGGAATCTCTTTCAAACTTCCTCCGTGTTGAGCAAGGTAGCGCCGCTACGTCGGCCGATGTTTCAGGTTATTACGGTCGAACCAGGTTGTTATTTTATTGACACTTTGTTGGATGCCGCTTTGGAAGACCCAAAACTGTCGAGGTTCCTAGTGAAAGAGGAAATTGACAAATATCGCGGACTGGGAGGGGTGAGCATAGGTCCTTTCTCCGGTGGATTTATGTGGAATCAGTAGGAGTGCTCATCAAAACCCTGTTTCAGGTACGTATTGAAGACGACGTTGTCATCTGGGCGGATGGTAACGAAAATATGAGCGATCTTCCAAGAACAATCGAGGAAATCGAGGAGTTTATGTCATCTGGAGAGCATGACGATTCTACAATTAAGCAGCATATCTGCGATCACCTCAACAGGCACTAACTCGGGTCTTCCATTACTCCACGGCAATACTATGTACACTGTGATAATCCATTGCTACCTGTATATATCAATATACGCTCAACTCATCTGTAATACTGGTATTAAAATGATGAATAAACTTCTAAATAGGAACAACTTACAGAGTGGTAGCGATCAGCTGTGGTCAGTGAAGCAGTTTCATATCAATCAGTTTTTGCGCGATTTCACCTCTTGAAACAGATTCACGTTGTTATGCTACAGGAATTTGATATTTTCACAAGGCTATAAATTGAAATGGGAAGACATGGGAGTGAAGATCGATGGCTGGCAAGCACAGCATCCCTGATTTGGTGACGACGTCTTTCTAACAACATCGAACAAGCAGAGCGAAGGCTGGCAGGTTTCGATTGTTCTGTGGAAACATGCTTCGGAGCTAAATCAGATAAAGATGGTATGAATCCGGTAGGGTGCACGATATGTAACCGTTTAACCATAGTTTTGCAGTCGAATCATTGGTGAGGTAATTCGCGAATGACACGCAGATTCATACTGGAAGTTATCGATGGAAACTTTGAGGAGCTTCAGTTGAGAAGAACACAACCCGATGGTCCACCATGTTTTGCTTCAAACTTTGGTGCCCTCTTGTACAGATATACCAAAAGAAGGGAAAACAACGAATGGAATGATCTCATGGGAATCCTGTGGTATTCAGTATGCACGTGGCGATAATGAAAAGCCAACGATCGCGAAATCAAAAGATCTCTGATATCTGCAGGAACTGCCTCATGTCCTTGGATGAGGTATGTAACATAGAAAGTAAGAGAGTTTTCATTCACAACACTACTCACATTTTAGGTAGCGAGCCATCTGCCGTTTTCGCAGGCTTTCAGAGCAGACGCCACATGAACTCATAGAACAGGTAAGAGATGGACCAGAATCTGTATTCTTCTCAAAAAAAGCGGCAACCATTCGCCAAACGCTCGGAGAGGAACCCTCGGCCATTGTTACCGGACCTTTAGCCTCCTGTTCCTGGTGACTGGTGTTCCTTGAGATTTGGTGGCTACTTGCGTTCTCTCCGTCTCAAAAGGCTATTTGCGTTCTCACTTGGAGTGCACGATTAGTGCTGAGGGTTATGGATATGCATAAATCGTGTAAAGAAAAAAAAACGCGGACCGTGCGATCCACATTTCTCTACGAGAAGCCTCGAATATTATGTGTTAAGCAGTGCTGTTCAAGTCAGTGAACAGCACTGCTTAACACATAATATTCGATTCTTCCAAGCTAGTTTGATAGACCCAAAATGATGAGTTATGTAGTCGAACTGGTTTCATCTTGCGCGTATAACAACGCCGCCCCTGTAACGTTGTAAGTTCTTTAGGGAGAAGGGACCCATTGAAATTGTTTGGTGATTAGCAGAGCTCGTAGCGAGTAGAATGAGCGACCGAATTTCCGTCACGCTATGATATTTGGTCATTGTTGAACAGCAACGATCAGATAATCGCTTCATTGACAGATCAGCGAACACACCGCAACTGATAACAGAGTCAGCCGACTTCCACTGCATACCAGTCATGGTTTTGCCCATCGAATTCGAGACTATCACTCACTTGTCAGTAGTACTAGTAGAAAAGAGACGTTCTACTTCAGTTAAGGGACCAGCGGCTTTGCATTTCCTCAAATTACCAATTTAGTAGCAACTAACGAATTTCTTGTGTGACTATCACCAGTGACGTTTGGTCTGCTCCATGCTCTGACGCTCGTTGTAGAGTAAGAACTTATTGTATACTGTGGATAGTAGCCCTCATTTGAGCAGTGTGTCTGTCCTTCGGTCGTATATCCTTTTGATCGTCCTATACCACGATATCGCACTTCACTACAGCGGAGGTGGTGTAGTGGTTATTAGCACACTCAGCACGTGCGCGGTCCAGTGGTCAAATCAGGCTTCCGCTCACACCTACCAACTCTTCTGCCCTCTGGAAACTGAATCGCTACCAGATTCGTTTGGAATTATAAGAACATTAACTTATACATCAACTGGCCAATTGGCAAGTCGTTGTGTAGGCCACATGGCATGCAATAACCCACTACGATTCTGAATGGGAGTACAACGCGTGCCGCATCCCAAAAGGGTTCAGTGAACCCCAAAAATGTTGTCCTGTATTGGGTTTAGAACGAGCACAACCCTGGCTCGTGAAGCGGTCTGGACTTTCGAAAGGTGTGGTGGCTATCGCAGCGCGTGGGTTAGGTACCAAGTGCGAAATACATCGATCTTCTCATCCCTTCAAATCGTGGAAGAGCAACTCATCCGGTCGTTTTGGTCGTGCCACCTTATCGCTCGAGTGATTGGAGCGCGTATGCGATCACGAAGTGTGAGCACCCTCTCAAATTTTTTTATTTATTTGTGGTGGTCATAGATCGAAAAGCGAGCTGTTCGTGTATATAAACTCGAGAAGTGCACGGTATCTGGTCATCAGGGTTTATTAGGTGCCGTTCAAGCATTACTCGACTTCGCATTGTTAGAATTGATCGAATCTGTTGATGTATTTTCAAGGGATACTGTTCGATTAAAGGACTTTCATGTGCGCTACTCAGAATACTTTCAAGAACTTTTAATCTATTCCACGCTTCAAGAGTAAGAACTATTCACATGGAACACCATAGTCTTCCGAAAATGAAATGAATTTCTCCTTTCGCGGTTTCATTGTCTCAACAGCACTCCATGGCGACCGCGCGGTGCATCGCAATGGAAGGTGGATAGCACTAATCGGGAGTCCTGACCCACACCCTAGGTTTTTCTCCCTCCCGGGACAGTGTGCCTCATCGTCAAAGTGCGACCCTCAGTGAGTTCTGGGTGAGCGATTGTAATGGATGTTCTGTTGAGTTCCGGGTTTTTCTGATTTCCTAGACGACGTGTCCCATCGACAAAGTGCGACGGCAATGAAGTCGGGCGCGCGATCGCACAATCTGTTCATTTACTCGACATTTTTAGTGCTTGGTGTTCTCCGCATCAAATGTCGTATAGCCGTGGTGACAATACATTGAAAGTCTCGGCACAGTTGTTCGCTGAGAATCGAGCCCGTCTTGTTGCGGCACTCAAGGTTCCAGATCTACATACTTCTGTTTATCACCTACGCGAGAACTGATTATTTGCATTTTCAGAGTAGCGCCCCAGGAAGTGTTGTGCTGTTACAGGGAGGAACTGAGAAGAATCGCTACAACACTGACGCAGAAGATCTACCTTTTAGACAGGTATTTGTTTTCTGTGGTGCAAACTGGGGTATCGAGACATGGCACAGCTCCAAAACTCTTCATTGTCGGTCACTTTCTCCTCACGCAGTTGTGTCATCGTCGCTTTAACTTCTAAAGAATCTATGGCTTTATGTTCAGGAATCTTATTTCTTCTGGGCTTTCGGTGTCCACGAAAGCGGTTTCTTTGGAACGATAGACGTTGATTCAGGGGAATCGTGCCTTTTTGCGCCAGTTCTGGACCCTAGTTATGCTATTTGGGATGGCAAGTGTGTTTTGTAGTTTGTTTTTGGTGCTATCGCAGTTCGTGGTAGCATTGGTCACACGGACTTGGGAACTCGTCCCTGACGTGTCAGACTCATACAACATGCTTCAATGACATCATCACAATTAGGGCACGTCCTGCTGCAGGGAGAAGTTTTTGCAGAATACGACCGCTCCCCCCCCCCTCTGGAAACTTTCTCCTTTGGTACGACCCCCTCGCCTTTTCCATACATGAGCCTAACCTCCTACCACGTTTTCCGCAGTTTTTCCCTAAATTCTCCACTTCTCTCCCAAAGGGGTGGTATATAGCGCACTCAAAACAGGAATACAGGAGAAAAGCACAACGGGATTCCATTTTTTCAAATGAGCAAACCCAACTCCTTCCTCCAGCGTCCACGACCCGGCCCCTTGGGGTTTCCCAACTTAGCACGTGCCCTTCAACACAGTATGTTGTCAGATTAAATAATCGCCCACATCTAGCGTTGCTTAGCCATTTAAACGACTGCGTCCGTAGATATGCCACTGCGATAAGACCTTATCATTTTTTTGCTGGTCTGCTAGAGGAATACAACTACACATGAGGCACCTTTATTCCAGGATCCAGACGCATCCATTTATTCAAGAGAACAAGTACGCAGTTATGAACGATTCATTTTCTGACTGAAAATAGATAAGCGACTACCTATTATGGGGCTCAAAGCAAAGATAGTTCTGACTTCGCTGAGTGAGCATTTTTGTCGCAAAGATTGGGATCACAAACGAAATGTGTGCTGTTTTTTAGAGAGCAGAAAACACTGACAGCGGCAACGTTCTGGAACCTCCAACATTCCCTGGCAAAGAGTCGTACGTTCTTACCACACTTAACCAGTCGAGGTTGTTTCTAACCTAATTGTAGAACTGGCAGCCCAGCAGTTTTGAGGCCGTGGGTAAATAGAGCGCCTGCTCTCTTTGGAAGGGAAAAGTCTGTATACGTCGGACATTGATCAGCATGCGCGCGCACCTGTTACTGGAAATAGCCTCGTCTTTGATTTTCATGATTGCTGTTCGATTCTGATGACACTGGTCTTTCTCTTTAGATTTGACATAGATGTCAATAAACTATATCCAATCATGGCCGAGTTACGAGTTTTCAAGACGGATAAGGAGTTGGAGGTACAGAGTCTTTATAACTTCTCGATGGTTCTTTTGTAGTCTTCTTTCTGCGAATAATTTGTCAATGCGTTCATTCAAGGTGATGAGGTACGCTAGTAAAATCGCCTCTGAAGCTCATCGTGCAGCAATGAAAGCTATCCGTGCTGGCTTGTACGAATATCAAATGGAAAGGTACTGTTATGATTCAGTATAAGGGTATTAGAGTTCAATAGCTGTTATGTCGGAATCTAGTGGAAGTGAGGCTGCGACTGATAAACTGACCAATAGATAACGATGACGTACTAGCACACCATTTCAGAACTGAAATGAGTTTTTCATTAAAGTAAAATCGTACAGGCTGTTTTACTGGTGTCGTTCTGGCTCCATAATTATCATTCTAAAAACGCCAAAGAAAAAACAGACACGTGATTCGTTGAACACTCTTTCCTTTTTTGACCTTTGACTGACTCGGAGATACGTCCCCAAAAAGTTTCATTTCCAGTGAATGAGTTATGAATATTTGTTTATTCCAGTGTTTTCCGTCATACGTCGTATTATCATGGAGGATGTCGTCATCTTGCTTACACCTGCATTGCAGCAACGTGGGTCTAATTATCATATGAGTTTCACACAGGCGCAGTTCGGCTACGGGGGAGGAGAAGGAGAGCATTTTGCACTTTCATTGCTTCACTAGTGGCGGTTTACAAGTCTCACTCTAGTGAACCCTGTAAACTCTTGTGATGCCGGAGCAAACTCGTTGAGCTACCGTAGTAAATGGTATTGGCATGGTATATTGGTGCTTTCTACAAATTTGGGCAGGTATTATTTCGTGGCTTCACGACACTCGGCGGGATGTAGCAAATGTACAAAATGCCCTGTCTCCACCCTCGCCTCCCCCCCCCCCTCCCCGTCGCCGAACTTCACCGTTCACTCAGTTGCTATTTGATCGTTCACTGAAGTCCGACTTCAAAAACTTCGTAAAAAGTATAAGAGAAACAGGAAGATAAGCGATCTTGAGCGCCTAGATAAGGATTGAGCGAACCACAGAAGAAGATCGTGAACTCTAGTGGAAAAAATGCTGTATAGTAATTCTACAATCATTTCAGGGGATGCAATGGCTCCATTCTCCACTACGGACATGCCAATGCTCCCAACGATAAGCAGATCAAGGATGGCGATATGTGTCTGTTTGATATGGGCCCGGAATACAACTGTTACGGTTAGTTAAAATCATAAGCACAGTTCGGCGACGGAGGAGGGGGAACGGGAGGGGGGGGGGGTATTTTGCATTTCTGCTTCACTTCCTCTTCGAAGTGTCGAAGCCATCACTTAGAGACCTATGAGATATCATGAAGCCAAGAAAAGTCATCAGTCGAAGTTTGTACGCTTCACCTCAAGGCACATCGGTTGTTGGGGAATCCTCAACAGGCAGGGTCGTATTTGGTCGCCGGAGGGGGGTCGTGTTTGGGCTGAGAAAAGTTATTTCGATAGTTGAGTTTCCTTGCTTCACGAACGCGTAAAGGGGGGGGGGTTGTACTTGCCCGTTGTTGAGGGGGGGGGGTCGTATTTCCTCTGCCCTCCTCATCACGTCCCGCTCGACAGCTTGATGAGGAGGGCAGAGAGCTAGGAGGGGGGGGGGGTCGTACCAACCCCGTTAAGGGGGGGGGGGGGGGTCGTATGGACTCGACCCAAAATCCCCAACCAATGATGTGCCCTGGTTCACCTGTCAGCTCTTGTAAAAAGTGCCTGTCAACTCTTGTAAAGCAATTAAATACCATACAAATACGATTCACCATGGTGAGCTTGCTCCACCATGACAAGAGTTCACAGGTTTCACCAGAGTAAGACTTGTAAGCCGGAACTAGTGAATAAGAGGAAGTGCGAAATCCCCCTCACCATTCGCCCCTTGCCGGACTGCGCCAAAATCATGTATTATTCCCATTCCTATTTACAATCTCCGCGAGAAAATCTCCCTTTGTAGCCTCCGATGTTACCACATCATTCCCTGCAAACGGAAAATTCACTGAAAAGCAGAAAATAGTGTACAACGCTGTTCTCGAAGCAAATCTAGCAGTGTTTAAAGCAGCTAAGCCAGGTAAGTTCTTCTGCACTATTTTTATGAACACCCATTCCCAAACAATGTTTAAGGAGTTCGATGGACCGACATGCATATTCTGTCAGAGAAAGTAATACTTACACACCTTCAAAAAGCAGGGCTACTAACAGGTTCGTATTGAACAGTACAGTACCTTCAAATCGGTGCCCATCGAAAATACTTGTGGTGACTAGTTATCTTATTTCAGGTGACATCGACGAGATGGTCAACGCAAGACTAGGAGCTGTGTTCATGCCTCATGGCCTTGGTCATTTGATTGGTCTCGATGTGCATGACTGCGGTGGATATCTCGGAGTACTTTCTGCTTCACAGTCTTTGATTTTCTGACGAATTTGTTGCATCTCTAGAAATTTCTTGCTAGGATGCCTTACCGCGCTCACAGCTGCCTGGACTCCAGTGCCTGCGTACCACTAGGACATTAAAGGAAAGAATGGTAGGGAATTCAGGGGATTTTCGACACAGATTCGCCCAGAAAGGGAATCTTTCAGGTGATTACCATTGAACCCGGCTGTTACTTCATTGACACACTACTCGACGCCGCTTTGAAGGATCCAAAGCTGGCAAAGTTTATGGTGAAGAGTGAAATCGACAAATATCGTGGACAAGGAGGGGTACGTTTCAATTTAATTGCCCAAAACAATTTATTATCAAACGAAACCTTTGCTTAGGTTCGTATTGAAGACGACGTAATCATTTGGGAGAAGGGCAATGAAAACATGAGTGACGTACCGAGAACAGTCGAGGAAATCGAGCATTTCATGTCATCGGAAGTGTTTGATGACTGTACAATCAAGAAGAGTATCTCTAATCACCTCAACAAACACTAACCTGAATCTTCCATGGCTCCACGGCAATACTTCACTGTGATATCACTTATTATTAATAAACCTCTATCTCTACTTTCAAATCGATCACTATCCGATCACCATTGGTAGAACGGGGTATCCGGAAGCGGGTTCATTCCGCCCAGACTGATTACGACGTTATCAACTATTCATTCATTGGTACCAGGCATCGTTAGTAGACTGCCGTGTAGGGATAAGTTAGATTCATATTTCTATAGATGTCAATACAGTTTTTGAAGCTGTTTTTATTATGATAACTGCTGTTTAACGCCGCGTACGCGTTCCCAATCTTATGTCAATACAGTTTCAACATGTTAATTCAGTTTTGAATGGAAATCGGGTGCCTGACGCATTCCATAGAGGCTAATTAGCGCACCCTTGCCTCAGTTCCCATTTATCACAAATAGAAGACGACTGCTGCAGCCTTCCCACGGGTGTTGGAGGTCGATATGTGGGCAGTGGGAGCCGAGGTTGTGTAGTGGCACGCTTACTATTCGCGCGGCCCTGAGTTCAGTTCCTGGGTCGACTTACGCCCAGGCCAACCAGGCCTTCTACTTTCCGTGACAAGTGACGTAGCACAGATTCGTCTGGGATATCAACACTGACTCGTACATGGGCTGGCCCCCGCAAATCATTGTATGGGCCACATCGCATTCAATACAGGGCAAGCAATCGTTGTGATGATCGCAACGGGGGGTCTCGTATCTGACCGTGAGGAAAAGAGGATCGTATTATGAAGTGGAGAAAAGGTTTTTGGTAGTTGGTTTTCTTTGTATTACGACGTATAGGGAGGGGATTGTACGTATTTAGCTATTGTTGTGAGCGGGACTGCCATATGATCTATACAACTACTATTTCCGATAGTTGAAAAATGATAGTTAGCATCCCTGACGAGGCTCCCCGCCTACCCCACGCTGACGGAATATTCTTTGGCTGAAAAATGGAAATTAGGAAGTGGGGAAAATCTATCGTAGGAGGGGTCGTATTTGAGAGGGAACTAGGCTGGTCGTATTTTCAGGAAATGATCAGAGCCGTATGGCGTGCGAGATTCAAAAGCCAGTACGATTCTAAAATGGGAAGTAGAACGGTTGCCGCGCTCCAAAACGGCACTGATGCAATCGGCGATGACTTCACACCATTGTCATGTGGGCAATGGTAATGGAAAGTACACTCTTGTCGAAGCGAAGCAGCATTCCGGACCAAAATCCGTGATATGGAGAATTTTCGCTATAGCGGGGGCACAACAAAGTTTGCGGTTTTTTAGAAAAGAGTAAATCCTATCGTTCACGAAACTCTGTGTGACCTCTGCTCCTGTTTTCCTGGACGAAACAGGGACCACTCAAAAGTCAATGAACCTAAATTGCCTCGACGTCTGCAACCGCAACGACGAATCCTAGTGTAGTGCTGAGATCGGTTGTGATGGAATCTATGTAAGCGTTCTACTAATTTGGCTTGTACATAGTTTTCGGTGGGCCAGTTCCTAGATGAGTTTTGTCAATTGTTTTCGAAACATTGCTCGGCCAGGCGCAATGCAGTACTGTTTGAAGTAATCCATTAAAATCGCATGAAAGTCTTATTCCGCTATTGTGCTACTGGTGTCCCAAAATTATTTTAAAGCACAACGAACATGTAATAAATAACTAATATGAACCCTATGAATTAAAACCCTGCGAGCCGACATAAAAGTGGGCACCGAAGTCACACCTTCGCCACTTGTTTATTCCATAAAATACCGACGTATGATTCTGCTACGGAACAAAATATCGGCGGTAACAAAGTGAACCAAAATAGATGGAGTTAGGAGGCCGTTCTGTACATGTCCGTTAACATTTTCATGAAGGAAGAATAGAATGGAACAATCAAAGAAAACATCGAGATGGCAAACGAAGTACGGGGTGATACTAAGCATGAGAATGAGTTCAACATGAGCCACCGAGTTGCTGCCTGATAGACCTGGGCAATTCTTATGATTATTCTTAATTCTACATGAAAACGAGTGCTGTTCAACTATAACAGTTCATCTGCCAAACCCTGATATAACAATACCACAAACTATAAAATGTGATCACGCACCCATCGATTGACGGGTCATCCTTCTTTCCATTTGCCAGTTTTTGGAGTTCATCGTCGTTAATGACGGCGTTCCATCGAATAGCAAACTGGAAAAACAGAATTATCACCGTCTCTACAAACGGTCAACGAGCTAACAACATTTTTGTTTGATGTGCACTAATACGAGTTACAACTGTGACATGACGGCCATTTGACCGGATTTGTCACGTACCGGGATAGCGCGCCCGAATGCAAAACGCTTGATACGCATCAGGTGGGAGGTGATGATTCAAGAGAGAATGTTTGAAGCCGAGACCTCCTGAGAAGATTACGTGAACGCCTCTCGAGAAGATAATGCCTATGCCACAAGAATGGCGTTCATTGTTCTCAAATTTAAAGAACAAAAGCGTCTCCAGAACAATACTTTAGGGGATTTCCCCAATATCCGAAAGCGCCATCTCTACCACCTATGCGCTGCGCGAAATTCAGGAACCAGGCAAAAAGTTCTGGATCAAAGTAGAGATGAATTTGCGTTGAGAGATAAGGCAGCAAAGGATAGGGTTATGTATGGGATAGACATTGGGTCAACGCAACCAACCCTGCGGCTCTGGCAATCTACGTCATTCACGGCCCGCGGAATCACAACTTCGCTGGTCTCATCAACACTTACACGTACTGTTTCGGTACTACATACCGCTTCTTCTTGACGTAACGATCAAATGGAGACAGCTGAAGATTGGTCGCTGCTCAAGAACTGCTCACCTAATTCGAAGCAAAGGCGTGAAATGTCGACCCACGAAATCGGTTCGGCGTGGCAAGAAAGCCGTAGAACGTTTATTTGACCGATGTGATATTCCCATATAACCCTAACGTGTTTGCTTTTCCACATAAAAATAAAGAACGAAAAGTTTCTATCCGAATTTGCGCAGAACTTTTGGACACCTGTACCTATATTCAAGTGGCACAGGATAGATGGTCTCCCTGATCTACTGATTTTTCCACATTGGCACACTATAATAGCAGCCTAGATCTACACATCACCATCCTGAGCACCTATGGGAGTGTAGGGCTATCATGGAAAAGAGTTGCGGCAGTGCTATGGCAGATCTCTGAGATCGGTTAAGCAGAGGTTATATTATTTCCAGCAACCTTTTGTACAGCTTACTGCTGAACCCTGCAGCACAGACAGAGACAACTCCATGCAGAAGCATTGAAAGGTATTAAAAGAATTGTGGAGAAGAAGGCTTCTTCAAGGATAGAGTTGAGGGTAAGTAAGTCGTACATAAATGAGGGGATGCCGATGGTGGCAGAAGTTGATACTTCGAAGGGATGGAGTTGAAATTGTATGGAAGATCGGAGCAAAAGCGCGAAGTTTGCTGTCCATCCAAATAATGGTCGACAACACTTTCCGTCAGCAGTACAATAGCGTCTTCCAAAGGCTTCCTGCTTGCCCAGTTCGCTAATAAGCAAAGCCAAATTCGTCCTTCAACCGAAGGCTGGCAACTAGTGCGCTGACACTGTGAAGTGAAATGGAAATATGTAATCATCAGCCTTCACTATACGGTCTCATTCGGAGATGGTATTCGAAGTAGCTTTGTCCGTTAACCCTTACTCCAGCTGTAACAGATCTTGGAAGAACTCACAAACGTGTAGTGAATATTGGGCTCTATTCCGTAACATGCTCTGGACAATAAATCATGGCATTCCCATCATTTCCCATACCCTGAAAGAATATTGAGGCAACAATCACACCATGTGCTTCTTGGCCATTTTCTATCCGTTCTCAAGGTGGGCCAACTTGAAGAAAGCTATAGCAATCACCCAGGAACGCCTTTCCGCGGCCAAATATCTTGAAGGCAGTAATCAACGATGACTTTCGGCTATTTGTGACAGAGCAATTTAGGTGTCGTCAATGAACAACGAATATATTGTCAACGCAATGCCTTTCGTAAGCCATAGTTAATCGATCCTGCAGGAACAAGCCATGATTTTTACAACTTCCATTTCCTATTTTTCTGCAGCAATCGCCCCTGAGTGTTTTGATAACGCATAACACAAGCACTATAACACAGCGTTAGGCATTGTTCACAGTGTGCGAACCAGTTTTCCCCTCTGGAACGCAGCGTTCGGCGCCAAGGTTTGATACGAATCGACGGGTGTTTTCGCGAACCGCACGTTTTTCGCACTTCCGACGGGAAAACTAGCTCGATCGCCCAGGCGTTTTTCCGCCAGCCGAAATCGGGCTAAGGCACTTATTGGCTTTTCGCCGCAATCCGCCGAATCGGCGGCGGTTCGGTGAACTAGCTGTTGGCGATTCTCGGATGCGATTGACATCTTTCTGCTTTCTCCCAACCGGTTCGTCAGGGTCGCAGTGTGAAATGCCTTAGTGGCTTTCTATATTTAAGAGTACTGCCTATAAAAGGGGATGAACCTACCTTGCTCTTCTAAGCAAATTCAGGAAAAAAACCGAAGAAAAAAAAATCAGATGGTAATGGAAAACAAATTCCCCGCAATGAAGATCAGCAACTCCGGTGGCGATCCACGCATAAAGATTCTTCTTTAACTTGGCCCATGGCAGTTCCATTTTAAACGCGGAAGTGACTCCCCTTCGAATCCTAATAAGCATGGTGAACTCACTTTAACAAGACATGAAGAAAACGAGGGTCACATGTTTTCTCGCACAACTAAGAAACTGTTTGGGCGCACGTGAGCATGCGGGAAGGGAAGATCGCTTGAAGGGATTCTTTTGGGTAATTAAAGATATTCGCAATGTAAATCATTTCTTTTTGAAAAGAGGAAACTGGCTCAGTCACAGAGCTGCGCGTACCCCCCCCCTCAAAATCCTCCCTCTCATGGACAATTTCTGTGTGATCTTAACGTCCTTCAACTCCTCTCTTAGGCTGGACTCCACTGTTTTTTAATCAATACGCGACCTGTCCAACAACTTTTAGTTTGATATACTGCTACTTCAGCAATCTCCTGCAGCAGGTGCCTCGGCTAGCCGTTGTCCGCCATTCTCTCTGTTCTGAGAGGTAAATTTTTTGAAAAACCTTCATCAACTCGCTGAGAAAATTCGGGATAATGCAACACGGGGAACCAAAAACCGTCCTTGGAAGAAGGTTGGACAAATAATAAAAAATATGAATGCAGTGTTCCTGAAGTCGGAGGACATCCCTTGACAGGCAACTTTAGGAAAAAGAAAAATGAACAAAACAAGAAACACGTATCTGTGAATCAAAAGCCATGGCAATGGAAGGACAAGGAGGAGAAAGCACAGTCCCCCCAAAAATAAAGACGATTGAAGAGAGAGGTAACAACACGACATCGAAGAATGGTGGCTCGAAACCCGCTACTATTGATGCGCGTGCAAACGCTCAGTTTTCGCGCCCCTGTCTGGCTGCTGGCGGCTTGTGCGCCGCCCCTTCGTAGGTGCCCGCCGAGCACTTCCACTGAATGATAAAAAAAGAGGGTCATAAGAATGTCCACGTTTTGTTATAGGAACTTTAGGTCGTGGCAATCAATAATGGCGTGGCCTCCAATATAGCGTCGGGTGTCGTGAGCGTGTCTGGCCGGCAGCGCAGCGGCTCACGAATCGATAATGGGGGTGGGGATTTGCGCACTACGCGCGTGATTGGGTCCATGCTTGTCGCTGCGGTCGTCGCGCGTTAAAGTCATCGCAATGCATAACGTGGAGAATCGATGCTGGATTGCGAGAATCCGTGGTGGTGTCGGCTTGTGCAAAGTGTGGAGTGCCCAAAGCACATAGTAATCAGCAACAGTCTGAGTTGTTCTAGAGAAATTGTATTCGGTGGCTAAAAGCGGACCACGTAGCTGAAGAGCCGCCGATGATCTACATACAAGTTCTTTTCGCAGAAGAGTAATGCGCCTTCTATCTCGGTGTGCCGGCCATCTGAGGGTAAAAAACACTGACCATTTACATAGATTGCGCCATGAAAGTGACTATATACCATGTTCAGCATTCGATTTGGATGCTACGGTACGCAGATGGAAGTAGAATGCATGGCGTGGTCCCCAAAAACGGATTAATCAATGGCAAAAGTTCATGCATAATGCTTTATGCCGGAATGTTGAAATCGGTGTTTCCCTGCATTATTTCATAACGATCAAGGTGGAAAGCCGAATGGTTAAGAGGTTAAACCATGTTCACACTCCGAAGCCACGAGTCTCGATCCCTGCCGAGGCACAAACATGACTTCAAATATTGGCAAAGTTGGTAACGACCAGCGTCAGCACATGTCGGCAAGCCGGCTGATGGAGAAACGCCGTCGCAAGAAATCATGGCAAGTCGCAAAGAAGAAAATATTTCACGACTAACGATCAAGCAATGAAAGGAGCTACTTCCTAAATATTTATGAAAGGCCAGTCAGCCTATAAGTCCACTATTCCAGCGAAATATGCGCGCACCTGTTTGCGTAAATATTTTGGAGGAAGTATAGATAGGCTTCGCCGTCAGAAAGCCAAATGAAACGTGGCCTTTCATTGCCGGAATCTTCAGGTAAACGATGCAGAGAAACACACCGGTTTGCAGCATTCTACATAAAGAAATAGGGTACGCCGTTGATCAGCCTTTTTTGGGAGCACTCATGCATTCTATTTCCATTCAGGCAAGCGTAGCCATTTGGGTACGATATGATCTTGCACGACCGACAGTGGTCAGGCCGGACAACAATTTGTCAGCCGCGGAAGTTATGGAAGCTTACGATGGCTCTTGCGGAGCTGGTCTGAGTTGCTTTCGAACGGCGCGCATATACGTCGTCCAATCGCGCGAAGTCGCAGCGCCAATGCGTTTGCATGGAATTACCCCCTGTATATGTAAAAGTTCATAATATCGCAATCTGTCGGGGGGGGGGTTGGGGGGGTGTGAGGACCGGCGGATGAGCCCGACATTCGGCTGCTTGCTCTACCACAATGGTGACTGGATTGTGGTCGTATAAAAGAAAAGAACTTCAGTCCTCATCATTGCGAAACTGGTGGGTGGCGTGTCACAGACATGAGTTGTGCACACTGTGGAAGCCGTTCTTCAGGGCCTTTTTGTTGAAACGAGAATGCGACGAAAAAGTTGTAGAGAAGAGTAATACGAAGATAATAATACAGTATATCAGTTGCACGCTTCACAATTTGTGGGCAGAACGAACTTCGTACCCGCGCCAAACGCAGCCGCCCTGACACGCCCCGATCCGCTAATGATAAGGACTGTACATTCTAAAAAAGTCGTGATTTTAATATCTTCATTCATACTTTTTTCGTTGTTTATTTCGTTAAAACGTATTAATTTTTCCTAATTTTTTGTTTTTATATTATTCATAACTGATTATTATCATTGTTACTTTCATTTTCATGTGTTGCTTGTTGAAGTTCAAAATGATTCTTGTGTAGAAACTATATTTTGAAATGAGTATAATTTCAGATAATTTTCTAGTTCGGCGCAGAGGAAGGTTAGGGTGATGTGCAAGCAGCAATAAGTGTGTCACTTCCCCGTGGCTGTTCTCTTGCTTCTTGTTGAAGCGCGCATCGCGACAGAACAGTAGTGGAAAACGACACGATATGATATAAGTCATAAGGCATTTGTTCGCCTTTAACATAACTGCTGTGAACAATTTTGGCACCGCACCAACTCAAAACCGCTGACGCGATTCTTGTCCAAACCGTCCGCAGAACTACACTATAGTGAGGGAAGCGGTGTTTACCAATGTACCTTGCACTCAAGTGCCCAGTAAGGTGGAGGTCTGATGTTAGCTGTACTTCAAAAAATAATGCGGTCGAGAGGACTGAAGGGATTGGTTTTAAACATTATTAGGTTGGCGGGAAAGTTCTGCGTCACATTTTTCAAACAAAGGCTTTCTTTTTATACGGAGAGGCGTATGCAGATCAAAATTATACAGGCAATGTCATTGCGGAGTTCGCCTCCCTGCCAGTTTTCGAGGGCACTTTCGTCGATGCCATCGCTTCAAAATGGAGCGGCTGGCACGGACGCAGT